GCGTCGGAGCCGAATATTGCCCGCAACGGTGAGGAGTGGCTGCTTCAGCGTGGGGACCGTCGTGGCCTTCCCCCGCGTGTGAGTGGGCAGCCTCGTGGTACCTTCGCGGCCGAGCCCTACGGCGAGACGATTGAGGAGGAGGAGTCCGGGGACGATGGCGACATTGTGGGCGAGATCCCCCTCGAGCTTGCCCACTTGGAGAACGAGGCTTTCGGTATGCAGTACAAGGCAAAGCAGCGAATCGCCGAGGTGAAGAAGATGCGCCAGTTCTTCAAGAAGCCAGACGGCGGCGCGGACAAGGATGAGAGAAAGAAGCTGATCGCCGAGCAGATGAAAGTCCGGCCATGCCACACGTGCGGACAGTTGGGCCATTGGTCGCGAGAGTGCCCAGCCAATGGCAAGAATGTGCAGGCAGTGCTGGCGACTAAGTCGTCGAAGGCCCTGGCCCCCACGAGAGTGACGGCACCTCCTCGAAGCAGCGAGTGGGATCTTCTTGCGGCCCTCTACCAAGGAGGCCCTGTGTTGCAGCGAGATGTTTCCGATGAGGCGGCATACAAGGGGTCCGTGCACAGGGTGTACTCAGTTGACTTCGATCTGAGGGAGGTCATGTGGTCGCTCAAGGAACTAGCTTTCAAGGTGATCCTCGATTTGGGATGTATGAGGTCCGTGGCAGGGGTTCTATGGGCCAATGAAGTGCTGCAGCGCTGGCATAACGAGGGCCGTTGGTATCACATTGAGAAGGAGTGTGAGGCGTTCAAGTTTGGGGGTGGCGAGGTCTTGAACAGCAAGTACCGTTTGTCCTTTGTCGGGAGCTTTGCAGGCAGGCCAGTGATCTACGGCTTCAGCATAGTGGAGGGGAAGTGTCCGCCGTTGTTTTCTCGTTCGGGATGTACTCAGCTTGGTGCGGTGATTGACTGTGAGCGGCATGCTGTTTCGTCACGTAAACTTGGGGTCAGGAATTATGGCGTGGGCGGGAGAGCGGGCACTACACTGTGAGTGTGGATGAGTGTGACGTGGGGAGTGTCAAGCTGCCTGAGGATTTCACCATGGCCCTCACGTTGGATGCCGTGCCCGTGTCCGATGCAGTTTTGCCAGCCAAGCCCGTAGGCGCCTCAGAACCTGGTTGCTCGGAGTATGGCCGCCGGCAGTGTTCCTCTGTGCAAGCTATGCAACAGCCCCGAGCACAAGACGCGCCAGTGTCCGATGATCATCGAGGACTCGGACGACGACTTCAAGAAGGTGGACACAGTGATGCCGGACGCGGCGGCCGAGGCGGATCTCCCAAGGCGAGTGGCAGCACCTCGACCACAGACAGCTCCAATCAAGGGCCGCCGGGCGCACCAACCGCCGAGCTCGGCCTCCGTGCTGGAGGCGACGCCCTTGGAAGCCACCGGTCTGACCGCGGACGAGGTGGAGCTGCTT